AAAAAAAAAAAATCATTAAGAAAATTTGTTCACTCACATATTAGCCATGGACGGTCGTGCAGCTTTCATGGCAATATCTTTCAGTATTTGCAAGCGTAGCACCCATCGATGATAAAAGGTTAATGCAAAACGGGCTGCATGCTCATGGCCATCAGGCGCTGCAAAACACAATATTTCCAAGCGTGTTCTAGTATGATGTTAAATAAAATTTCTACATAGATATATCTACTTACAAACTTTTTGCTGAAAATCCTGCTGTAAAGGTATTGGTACCAATTTGCCAAAACATACTGTACATAAATCGCGCAACAGAAAGAGCTGCTTTGGAATGGGAAGACTCTTTTCCAGGACATCTGGGATATATACACAATAGATTTCTTCAATGTTTTTTTATATATTAATTCTCCACTTACCCAAGTTCCATTTCAACCATGTCGCCACTTTTAGCGTTAATATTTTTAAAGCAATTTGCTTTCGCGGTATACGCAGTCCATCTATGTTGCTCATTATGACAGTACCAGTTACGCCTGCGCCCGGTGTCACTGGTATACCGCCTGGTACATTTTCAGCCTCTGGCGAAGTCAGATCATACTGCGGCGGCATTATAACATCCGGTGTAACAGATATGAATTGAGACATTAGCTCCAAAGGGCTGGGATCTAAAGAATGGTATTTGCTTTAATGTTAAGTGTATCTTTTGGATATTTGCCATTCGCACTTACCTGGATTAGGTTTCTGCAAATGTTTGGTAATTAAATGTGGGTCGAGCAGAAATTCAAACCAAAGCACCGTTTCAGCGGCAAGTGGTACCGCTTTCGGCCGCAAAGGGTCTTCCATTTTTTTATTCGAAGTATTTATTGCACTTTTATCTGCATTCATTTATTTATAAAATTGGAAAATTAACAATTTTGGAGTTAAAGCACCTCGCTGCAAAAATCAGATGTTTTCCTAAGGGTGTCAAAACAAATCAGCCGGCTGAAGCGTTGCCATATGTTTGTGGCGCAGGGTGCATTATAATAAAAAAATAGAAAAATCTTTAAAGTGTACTGCAAATAATTGGCACATAAATATCTTAAATCCTCTCATTGATAGACAGTTCTCCAGCAAAAACCCTGTGTAATTCGTTTCCGTTGTATAATTTA